AGAGGTCCTGGGCGGTCACTGAGGCAGGCCCACGGGCGCCATGGGTTGGTATCGTTTCACCGATTCCCATCCCCGTCCCCATCCCGTTCGAGACCCCCACCAATTTACCACCCCAGCTGGGGATATACCCATCGAAACCCGAAGGGAACGACCTATATCCCCATCTAGGGTTCAGTCGGGCCTGTCCTTCTACGGGGGAGGAAAATTCGAAAATACACAACAAATCGTCGGGGGATTACTTTTGGAGTATTTTGTTGATTGTTTTTTGATCCATGTCTGAATATTTTTGATTTTTCGTCCATGGTTCCCCTGTAGGAGGATATGCCCGACCTAAATCTCGGGGGGTAGATCGGCCAGTGGGGCCCAGGCCACGCTGCTGGGGGTGGGGATCTGTCCAACGATACTCACAAAGGGCTGCCCTGTCCGAGTGCAGTCCTGCGCCAGCGCAGGCCCTGCCCGCCGGCGCGGGGTCCTCACCTTTTCGGGCCGGCTGCGCCCCGATCCCAGACTTAAATCGGGCGTGTCCCTCTACAGGAGGAATATTCCCAAATAGTAAAAACAGTGTGGGGACGATCTTTTAAATATTTAAAATAGATGTTGTGGATCATTTGTTAGTATTTTGTATTTTTCGTCCAACATCCGCCTGTAGGGGGACACGCCCGACCTAAGCCCAGACAGGGCGCTGCAGCAAGGGCCTCGCCAAGCTGACGGGGGCACTCGAGCAGATCTAGGCCTCCTAGATGGGGTCGGAGTAGATGAGGTCGGAGGATCGCGCCGCATCGCCGATGCATCGACGATGCGGCTCGATGTGGAGCCCGTGCTTCCACACGCCGACGTCGCCGATGCATCGCCGACATCGCCGATGCATCGCCAGTACATCGCCGATACATCGCCAATGCATCGCCGATACATCGCCGATGTATCGGCGATGCGGCGCGATCCACCGACCCAATCTACTCGGACCACATCCAGGAGGCCTCTACTCGAACAGAGGAGTGCTCTGGGGCCGGGTGGGCTATCGAAACCGTTGTGCAAAGGCACAGAGTGAGGATCGATTTCCCAATGGCGGTGCGTGGGAAGCACCTGGGACAAGTGATGTCGTCCTTCGTAGCAGAGGCGATCGCATTAGAAGGCGCTATATATCACCTTCATGAGAGGTTTCGTGAGAAGAAGCACTCCTGGATAGATCGGCCCGTCAGAATTTGGCTTCGAGTGTCGAAGAGAAACATACAGAAAGGTTGACGTCTCGCCCTCGGCGCATGCTGGCGAAGGCGGCCAGAAGCCTGCAGGCCAGATCGAGGCGTCTCAACTAGATCACTTGATCAGTGGGCCCCCATGCAGTCAGACAGCCCAGTCTGGTTGAGCTCCACAGCCGATCACAGTGAAGGGCACGACCTAGGTGAATATGTTGGAGGAAGAGGAAGCCGCCGACATAGCCAAGAAGGAGAGTTGCGAGAGCTCGCGCGCGCAAAACACGCGCGAAGCTATCAAGCTCTCACGCGCGATCGACGACGACACCGACACCATGACTCGTCTGACGTCCGAGATCGAGACGTTGGACGAGCAGATCAAGGAGAACCAGGACGCCATCGAGGTGTTGAAGACGCAGATGGCAGAGGCGCTCCAACAGCGGCTCGACGAGAACAAGGCCGCCCCCTGCTCTCCCAGTCGTGGCTTGCCGTCATCGCCTGCCTCGTTCGTGCGCACCTGGGGCTGGAAGTTACCAGCGTGGAGCCAGGATTCTTGTGTGCGGTGGGAACTCACACAGGGGGCCCGGCTCGGGACAGCGTCGCAGATCCTCGCTCACGGGACGCTCCGGGGCCAGCCCGCACACCCAGCAGCGCCTTGGTCGACAGGACGCCGGGCGCCGGGCGTGGACGGACGCAGGCGCGCACGTGCTCCCGCGGGCCTGCATGTCTGCAGAGCCTCGTGCGCGTGGTGCGTGCGCGCACGCTCCTTGGCGCATCTCCCGGCCCTCCCCCCCCTGGCCACCGAGCGGCCGCTGGGCGCGCGCTCGGCCGTCCCGTGTCGGCCAGCGCCGAGCGAGGCCCCACGCGGCGCGCACGCGCGCACGCGCACTTCACCGCCCACCGAACCACCCCAGCCCTGCTTGCCGGCACAAGGGTGATTCGCCTTCTGATTGGACGCGCGGCGCGATTTCCGTGTGAGTCTAAGGAAATGGAAGGAGTTTGAGTGGGGTAGTTATTGGCTTGCCGATGGATCGGTGGTCCGCGGTCTGGCGGGAAGCGCGAAGCACTCCGCGTTTGGGTGTGTGAACCGAGGGGGAACTTGAGGGGGGGAGCGTGTGTCTTTAAATTGGCTCCAGGAGGCTTCTGAATGGGCATCAAGAGGGTCCCAAGACGGCCCAATATAGGTTTCCAAACGACTGCAAGATGGCCCTCGATCCTTGAATGGGGTTCTCATAGGCTCTCCGGGAGGCCCTAATTCGAGCTAAGATATGTCCGAAACAATCCGGCTCGTCAGCATCCTGCCGTTTTTCTGTTATTAGCCGCTTTGTCGGGTATTCTGTCGGTGTGTCTGCAAGAAGCATTCAGAGGGCTCCAAGGCGGCCCAAGAGGGCCCCGAGACACGCCTGAACGAGCCGAGCCTCTTTCGCATCTCGTCCCCGCACCGTATTCTGCTATAGACAATATGCGTGTTTAGTGCCCTGTGCCATCTGTGCTTTCTTGCGAGCGGCGGCTTGAGCGGCTAAAAGAGGGAGGAGGAGGGAGGAGGAGGGAGGAGGAGGGAGGAGGAGCATATACTCTGATTCCTGTGAAGGCTCGAAGGGCAGAGGGTATCACAATCGAGAAGTCTCCAGTGGAATCTGCAGGGTCAGATCTTGTCCCACGCTTGTCTCACTGGGGCGCTGTAGATGTAGCCGCTCCCTCGTTTCCGAGGCGGGAAGTAATACATGACCACCGCCTGGAGGATCAATTTTCGGGGACCTCGGCAGGCGGTGGATACGGATATATTCGGGCGCCCGGGGGCCAACATGTATCCACATCCGCCGCCCGCTGGGGCACCAGGGCGTCGGTTCCCAGGCGGTGGATGTGGATGAATCCCCGCCTCGCATCGTTGGGCTTTCGTCACATTATTTAGAGGCGCTGGGGGGAGAGCGTGCTCGAATCTTCTGGAACCGCTGCGCCGCCAAACGATGCAGACCTGCCCGGGCGGGGGTCCGACGCGCCCCGCTGGAGAGCGGAGGGCTACAACATAATGCCGGGCCCGTCGCCCGTCGCCCTCGTCGCTGTCGAGGACGCCAGGCCGCAGCCAGCGACCCAGGCATCGTCATCGTCATCGTCATCGTCATCGTCATCGTCATCGTCATCGTCATCGTCATCGTCATCGTCATCGTCATCGTCATCGTCATCCCCATCCCCATCCCCATCCGCATCCGCATCCGCATCCGCATTCTCCTCCTCCTCCTCCTTTTCCTCCTCCTCCTCCTCCTCCTCCTCCTCCTCCTCGGCGAGAGCTCAGCATTTTCTCATTCGCCCCCGGCCCGTGCCGGCGTGCCGCCGCGGCTCGCAGAGGGCAGGCCGCGCTCCGAGCCCCCGCCGCGGCGCCCCCGCCCCGAGACCGCCCCGGCGCCGCGCCCCCCGCCATGGCGCGCGGGTGCCCGCCGCGGCTGCTGGCCGCCGCCCTGGCGCGCGCCCTCCTGGGCGGCGCGAGCCTGCCCCGCGCCGCCGCGGAGAGCTGCGACCCCGGGCCCGACGCCGACGAGGGGCTCGGCGGCGTCGAGCTCGTGCAGGCCGGGCTGGAGTGGAGGTCGGCCCGGGAGGCGCCGCCCGCGGGCGTCGAGGGGGCGCCGGAGGCCTCCGCCGTCGGGGGGCCGCCGCCGGGGGCCCTCGAGGGAGCGAAGGCCTCCGTGCTCCAGGCCGAGCGGGAGCTGAAGGAGAAGGTCAGGGCGCTGCGCCACGCCAAGCAGCAGCTGCGGGCCCTGGAGCCCAAGGAGGGCCCCCTCGCGGCCTTCCAGCGGGAGATCGAGTTCGAGCTGAGCCAGCACGGGGAGCAGGGAAGGTGCTCTGCCCCACCCTCCCCGCCTCCCGTCTCCTCCCCCCCTGCTTCTCCCTTCTCCCTTCTCCCTTCGTTAGTACACAATCTGAATCCCACTCTCCTCTCTCCCCTGATCACGTCCCCTCCGCGTACTGTTTTTTCCAACAGAATTCCCGGGAGTTGAGTTTTCGTTTGGTTTTTCTCAAATGTTGTTCCCGCTGAAGCGCTGGTCTCATTTTCGGGCTTCCGCTCGTTCCGAATCGTGATCCCGCTGCAGCGCTGACCTCGTTTCCGCGCTTCTGCTCGTGCCGAATCGCGCTCCCGCTGCAGCGCTTGCCTCATTTCCGCGCTTCCGCTCGTTCCGAATTGTGTTCCCGCTGCAGCGTTGGCGTCATTATTTTCAGTGCCATGCCACGGCATGCAATGCAATGCCATGTGGTGTTCTGCTGTGCGATGCCATGCCTTCAGCTGCAATGCTAGGAGATGGAGTGCTTGACTACGCAGTGCCACACCATACTATGCCATGCTACGCTTTGATCTTCAACGCCATGCTATGCCAGCTTCTGTTCTGCGCCGCTGTGCGATGCCATTCTTTGGGTTGCAATTCTTTGTGATGCAATTCGTCACTACGCAACGCCACGCCATGCTATGACAGAGTACGCTCTGCCGTTCTCTTCTGCGCTCTGCTATGCCGTGCTCTACGATGCATCGCGCACCCTCTCGGGATTATTGCCCTGCTCGACATCCGACTCTGCGAATAGAGAGGAGATCTACGCCATGGTAAGGGATGGGAGGGAGGGGTAGGACGTCAGACATGACGCGAGCGCACCCAGCTTGACCCACCTCCCTCCCTCCCTCCCTCCCTCCCTGGCGGGGTGGTGTGGTAGGTGCACTCTCTTTGACCCTCAGAGCAAGGGGGATCCAGCCAAACTCATAACAAGGCAGTGCTTGTCTTGATAGAGCTCTGCGGGCTCGGCATCTGTGGCGTGGACCGCTGCTTCATGGGCCAGACACTGCTCGGCGTCGTGAAGGGCCTCACCCTCGGCGGACTCTTCGTGTGGGCCATCGTAGACTGCCTGGGCATCCTCCTGGCCAGCCTCACCTTCACGACCAGCATCGACCTGCTGGGCTACCGCTCCTCCTTCGACCGAGGCACCGTGACGTCGGCCTTTCTGCTCGCGCTGATCCTCCTGCTCTTCCACCTGCTGGCCGTGGCCTCCGTGGCCCGGAGCTGGCTCGGCGCGCTCGGCGCGGAGAAGAGGAGGCGGGACTCCGCCTGCAGCACGCCGGCGGGCAGTCCGGGGGACTGGGAGGCGGCGCCCGCGGCCGAGGAGAAGGCGCCGGGGGAGGGGCAGGAGGCCGCCGCCCCTGCGGTGGCGGCGGGCGCGGGTCTCCAGGATGCGGGGGCGCCTGGCTTCGCCCTCGCGCAGGGTGACGTCGTGATCGCGACGTACATGAAGTGCGGCACCACCTGGATGCAGTACATCGTCCTGACGCTTCTCTACAAGGGGGATGCGAGCAAGATCAAGAGCCTGGACTTCCAGTCGCCGTTCATCGATGAGCTTTTCGGGGAGAGCGCCAGCAAAGGGGAGAAGGGAAAAGGCAAGGACAAGGAGAAGGGGAAAGGCAAGGACAAGGATAAGGAGAAGGACAAAGACAAGGACAAGGAGAAAGAGGGCAAGGGGAAGGACAAGGAGAAGGACAAGGACAAGAAGGGCAAGGACAAGGAGAAGGGAAAGAACAAGGGAGCCCAGGGCTTCGGCCCGCCCTGGTTCTGCCGCGGCGAGTTCACCCCGCCCGTCGACGGCGAGCAGCCTCCTGGCGACAACCCTTTCGCCGGGCTGAGGGCGTGGGACGGCAGCGAGTTCTGCCTGCAGAGGCCAAGCCCTCTCGTGGTCAAGACCCACTGGGCCCCCCGCGAGGTCAGGTGGGACGACGGCCTGGCCGCCGTCGGCAAGGCTGCGAAGGTTATCGTTGTCACCAGGAACCCGAAGGACGCCGTCGTTTCAATGTTCAAGCAGAACGAGCAGTTCAACCTCCCAGCCGCCAGGGATGGGTTCGCGGCGTTCGTGCGCCGCTTCCTGGCCGGCGGCTTCCCGATGACGAAGCCCCAGGACTTCTGGAGCTTCTACCACGAGTGGTGGTGCTTCGCCGCGGGTAACGAGTCGGTGCTGTGGGTCTCCTTCGAGGACCTGAAGCGGGACGCCCATGCCGAGATCCGCAGGGTCGCGAACTTCCTCGGCATCGAAGCCGACAGTGGCCTCATCGACGAGACCGCGAAGGCTTGCTCGTTCGAGGCGATGCGGGCCTCGGGCGGGGAGCAGCTGCAGAGGCTCTTGAACGCGGGCAAGTCTGGAGGGTGGAGGGACCACATCCAGGGGGAGCTCGACGAGGAGTTCGACAGGGTGCACCTGGGCCGCGTGGCCGACCTGCAGATGCGCTTCGACTTTGACTTCGGGGCGGGCCGCTAGGACGGGCTTGGAGGCTGCTGGCGCTGAGCCCGGGGCAGGCAGCGGCTGCAGGGGCCCAGGCCCGCTCAAATTCTGCCCCGCCTTCCCTGAGTTCCGACGCTGCGAGCAAGTTGTGACACCGCAGGGGGTCACCATCGGAGCCCCAGACCCCCTCTGTGCGGCGTTGCTCGAGCCGGATCGACCGGTGAGGCTCCAGGGCCCCGAAAAATGGGGCGAAGTGGGAGGGGAGGCCCGAAAAGGGCGACGTGGGTCGGAGTCGCCCGAACTAAGAGCGTGTTTCTTTATTGCTTGGGGCATAATGGGCATTATATAGCCCCCGGCCCCCGGCCCCTCCCCCTGTAACGTAACGCCCCTTCCCCGCCTGTGCGCTCCAGGCACTACCGTCGTGCGCACGGCGGGGGGGAGACGTTACAATGTACCCCCCCCCCTGGCCCCCCCCCCTACAATGCTTATTTTCGCTGAAAGTAAAGAAACGCGCTCTAGGATGAGGCAGGGCGAAGCTGCGGCGCCAGAATCTCAGGGTTCCTCTGCGGCGCGCGGCTCGCGCACTCCCGATCCGTGGCAGACTGGCACCGGCGGCAGTAGCCAGCCCACGGGTGGCGCCCTCGCTCGGGTGGTGCCGGAGGTCTCCCTGGCACAGGGTGTCCCCAGGAGTTCCAGTGAGCCCCCCATGGCCTCCAGAGCACCCTTCAGCAGGCCTGGCGATGATGCTGATGCTGATGCTGATGCTGCCGCTGCTGCTGCTGATGATGAGAATGATCAGGAGGAGGAGGAGGAGGAGGAGGAGGAGGAGGAGGAGGAGGAGGAGGATGAGGAGGAGGAGGAGGAGGAGAAGGAGGAGGTTGTTGTTGTTGTTGTTGTTGTTGTTGTTGTTGTTGTTGTTGTTGTTGTTGTTGTTGTTGAACATTATTTATTCTAAAGAATAATTATTGTTGGGGCCCCTGGTGCGCGACCCCCTCGCCGCGCCTAGGCCGCAGCTACATTTTCATCATTTTCGTGAGGAAGCCTCAGGTAATACGATGTCATCAAGATCCGGTTGTTTTGTTCCCCCCCGCTGTCCCTTGCAAAAAACACTATAAAATGAAATTTCTTGTTCTAAAATAACCAAACTTCAAGAATCCCTTGCAAAAAATAAGGTAAAGTGGACATTCGCGCGCGCAAGACGAAATCCTTCCAAAACCTTAGTGTTCGTAGCGATTTCAACATAAAAACATCAAAAAAACAATGTTTTTTTTTTTTTTTTTTTTTTTTGTGTCACAATTTCATCCCGCGCGCTCTTGCGGATTTGCAGGAAACCCAACTTTTTTAAACATTTCTGTCAAACGGGCTTTTGCGATCAACTTCTTCACGTGCTTCGAACTTCTCCAACAACGGTTGCGCACCTGCCAGGGCCATCATCCCTGTCAAATAATACCATGCGGGACACATTCGTTTTTTCTTTCCGTGCGCACGCCGAAATCTTCAAAAACCATTGGGTTTCGTAGGAATTTTAGCACCGCGCAACATAAAATCATTTTTCGCACCGTAGGCCCTTCAAATCGTCGTCGTCGTATACTAAGCTAGTTTCCACAAGATGTTACCACAAGAAGTCATTGAAACCATGCGCCAGTGTAGTAGCCACGGTCGTCCGCATGCCACGAAGTGAAGTGTCCGAACGTCATAGGGCGGGAAGCTGGGTGTGGGTGGTGGCGAAGAGTCGTTTGGAAATGTGGTAGAGCTTGAACCGGCCCCCCCACAAAGTGGGGGTATTGGCGGGCGTCGTATGAAAACCCTGGCACTGGTGAGAACACTGAGCGTTCGGGTAAAATGATTGTTGTTGTTGTTGTTGTTGTTGTTGTTGTTGTTGTCGTTGTTGTCGTTGTTGTCGTTGTTGTTGTTGTTGTTGTTGTTGTTGTTGTTGTTGTTGTTGTTGTTGTTGTTGTTGTTGAACTCTCATTTGGGACGAATAATCATTGTTGATCCCCCCCGTCCGGTGCACATTGTTTTTTCTCGGTTGAAGTGCCCTTCTCGGGGCTCGCACCCTGTTTTTTATCAGGGAAAGTCTTGAGGGTCAAACTGTGTCGTTGGCCCCCGGGTTACAACAACAACGGCTCCCGCCTGAGACCTCCTCACAAGTTAGCCAGGACCCCCGCTACCGCCAGAGACTTCCTTGCATTTTATTCAGGAATCGCGCTTTCGCTTGGGACTTCCTACAATTTATGCAGGAGTCGCTCTCCCGGCGCTCTGGAGTCGCGCTCTCGCTGGAGACTTGCTTGCAATTTGCTGAAGAATAGCGTCCTTGCGGTGGAAATTTTTGCAATTGATTCGAGCGCCGCGCTCCCAACACCCAGGCACCCAGGAGTCGCGCTCACGTTTAGGACTCCCTCACAGATTACCTAAGAATCGGGATCTCGCTGCCCTTCGTGGCCCCGTTGCAGCCCTTCGTGGCGCCCTCGCTTTGTTTCGTGGCCCCGTTGCAGCCCTTCGTGGCCCCGTCGCTGCCCTTCGCGGCCCCGTTGCAGCCCCTCGTGGCCTCCTCGCTGCCCTTCGTGGCCCCGTTGGAGCCCTTCGTGGCCCCCTCGCTTTGTTTCGTGGCCCCGTTGTAGCCCTTCGTGGCCCCCTCGCTGCCCTTCGTGGCCCCGTCGCAGCCCTTCGTGGCCCCGTTGCAGCCCTTCGCGGCCCCCTCGCTGCCCTTCGTGGCCCCTCGCTGCTTTTCGTGGCCCCATATATGTATGCCCTTCGTGGCCCCCGCTCGTTCGCGCCCGTGGTGGCCCCATATGCATGCCCTTCGTGGCCCCGCTGTCGCCCTTCGTGGCCCCCTCGCTGCCCTTCGTGGCCCCGTTGCTGCCCTCAGTGGCCCCGTCCTTGCCCTCCGCGGCCCAGTATACGTATGCCCTTCGTGGCCCCCGTTCGTTCGCGCCCGTTGTGGTCCCATGTGCATGCCCTTCGTGGCCCCGCTGTCGCCGTTTGTGGCCCCCTCACTGTCCTACGTGGCCCAGTTGCTACCTTCAGTGGCCCCGTCGTTGCCTTCTGTGGCCCCGCATGATCTGCCCTTCGTGGCCCCCATGCGCATGCCCTTCGTGGCCCCGTTGCAGCCCTTCGCGGCCCCCTCGCTGCCCTTCGTGGCCCCGCTGTCGCCCTTCGTGGCCCCCTCGCTGCCCTTCGTGGCCCCGTTGCTGCCCTCAGTGGCCCCGTCCTTGCCTTCCGCGGACCAGTATACGTATGCCCTTCGTGGCCCCCGCTCGTTCGCGCCCGTTGTGGTCCCATGTGCATGCCCTTCGTGTCCCCGCTGTCGCCCTTCGTGGCCTACTTCGTGTCCTTGTGGCCCTGCTGTCGTTCTCTCTCGCTCTCGCTTTCGCTCGTCGTCGTCGTCGTCGCCGTCGTCGTCGTCGTCGCCGCCGTCGTCGTCGACGTCGTCGTCGTCGTCGTGGTCGGTCCCCTGTCCGTTCCTCTTGGGGTCGGGTCAACGGTCCGCGGCCGCCCCGCCGATCAGCGTTGCCGCTGGCCAGGCCGACGGTCTGCGGCCGCCCCGCCGCTTGCAGGGGCCCGGCCTGCAGGGAAGAAAGGTATACCCCCCAAAAGGGGTTCGATCGAAGACGAAGAGGGCGGGTATCGAGGGTTTGGGAAATACGCGGTATTGGACACTCGAGCAGATAAGGGCGATCAGTCTTAAAATGATTGTTGTTGTATTATTTGTTGTATGTGTTGTTGTTGTTATTATTATTATTATTACTATTATTGTTGTTGTTGTTGTTGTTGTGGTTGAACTCTCATTTTTTGAAGAATGATTGTTGTTGATCCCCCCTCCGGTAACATATGTGTTTTTTCAATTGAAGTGCCCCTCCTGGGCCGCGCACGTTTCTTTTTAAAACGAAAAAGCTTCCTCATCAAAGTGTGCCCCAAGCCCTCGGTTTACAACAACAGCGGCTCCCGCCTGCTACTTCCTCGCAATTTACTGAGAAATCGCGCTCTCGCTAAGGAGTTTCGCACCTCATCAAAAAGTCGCGCACTCGCCTTGTATTGCTTCGCAATGTATTCAGTCGCCACGCCCTCGCCATTCAGGAATCGTGCTCTCGCTAGGGACTTCCTCATAATGTACTTAGGAATCGCGCTCTCGCCCGAGACTTCCTGGCGAATTATGCAGGACTCGCGCATTCGCGTAACATGCGTGCTTTTTGAATTGAATTGCCCCTCCCAGGGTTCGCTGTGTTTTTACATGGGGAAGTCTTCCTGCTCACACTGAGCCCCTGGCCCCCAGTTTTCAACAGCAGCAACAACAACGGCTCCCGCTTGATACTTCCTCGCAATGTATTGAAGAGTCGCGCTCTGGCTAGGGACTTCCTTGCAATTCTTTGTAGACTCGCACTCTCGCCTGAAACTTCCTCGCAATGTATGCAGGCGTGGCGCTTTCGACACTCAGGAATCGCGCTGCCGCTTTGGACTTCCTCGCAATCGATTCTGGCGCCGCGCCCTCGACACTCCACGCCCTCGCTCTGGATTCCCTCAAGAGATATATTTTGTAATCGCGCTGTCGCTCAAGGCTCCCTCGCGATTCATGCAGGGCGCACGTTTCAGCAACCCGCCTGCTCGACCTGGCCGCCTGGGCCCGTCTGTGAGGGTATACCCGCCCGATCTGCCCGTCTGATTATGCTACGTGTTTTCTGCTCCTGGCCCCCCTCCTGTTATTCTCTCTCGTGCTCCATCCTCCTCTCTCCCCCATGTCCCTTCCTTCCATCCGTCCTTTCTTCCCCTGCCTTAGGTGCTGCACGACATACACGTTGCAGGCAGGCGGTAGGAAATACATACCCCCCAAGGGGATGCGATCGAAGACGAAGAGGGTGGGTATCGAGGGTTATGATATACGTGTTGATTGGCACGCGAGCGTGTAAGAGCGAGCAATCTTAAATGATTGTTGCTGTTGTGTTGCTGTTGTCGTTGTCGTTGTCGTTGTCGTTGTTGAATTCTGATTTCGAATGCGTTTTGTTGATCCCCCCTCCGATAACCATTGTATTAGTCAATCA